ATAGGTTTCGTTGATTTTACCGAATTTCTGTAGAGTAAAAAAGGATAATTGCAGTTTGGAAAGATTCGTCTGTTTGCCTCGGTCGGTTGGGGACTGGCCATGTTCGTCATGGGAGTTGGTGAGTGCCTATTTCTGTCTATGGCATTTTTTTGGAAATTACCTGACTGCTTGAGTCTTGGCGTAGTCCTGTCGTGGGTTTTAAAGAGAAAAATCACAGTCACCATATCGGCGGACAAAGTTTTTGTGTTATCAATTCAGGCCTGGATTACTCCGATACCTTCCGAAATCATCCGTGCCCGACTAGTAACACCACCGAGAAGAACTACACACTTTGCTTCGTCATGTGCAGTATATTCATGTGCGCTGCTATGCTTCTTGGTGAGTACTCTTCATACCAATGTCAAGCATGAGGTCTGTTCGCTAGCTGCGGATGCTGGAGCATGTTAGGGAGAGAGGAGTAGGAAGCTGCACCTTTTTCACCAAGCGTCACTTTCCCCTCTTCGAATGGCTGGCGATGCTCTAAGCTGACACGTGCCTTGCACGTCCCAGCATGCGCAGCGAACAAGACTGCGTGGAGCATTTTCTCAGCAATACCTATGCCTTTCAACTTCACAATGTTCTGAAAACTATTTTATCATGCAAAAAAATGGGCGCTGTTCGCCTGAGAGAAGAGGCACTGTGTTAGTTCCCATCGACACGGAGCCCTGTAAACTCTAGTGCAGCTATGGAATGGGACTAAGCGAGGGTTGTGCAAGTCACTCGGTTAAGACTTGTGAATTCCTATGAATCTAATACAGCAATACCTGAAATCACGTTTCCCAATTACAAGAAGTGGGTAGTGGGACTCAAAGACGGATGACAAGTTAGTAAGCATCTCATTAGCTAAGAAGAAGCGGAAAGCCGTCCAGAATGCTCAAGACTGGACCCTCTGCAGTCCGAGCTTGAACGACGATGCGGAGAACCTCAGACAGACAAAATCCGCAGACAAAATCTCACTTGTTCTTATCGCAGCGACAACAGCTCTTTTCCCTTTATCGCAACGACAGCAGCTATTTTCCCCTTTCACATTGCTTTAACCGCGAAGAGACCTTATGTACTAGGATGGAACAAGCGCATCACCAGCTCGCTTCTAGAAATAAACGTTGAGCGTGGCCAAAGCGATGAGTGGGGCATGGCCTTTGTCATGAGCGTCTGGTGTCCTCATGGCTTCTGTGCACCTGAAAAGCGAAATTCCCCTGTGCTTGCCGACCGGACTGCTTTGCCCAGGAAATGCGCCTGCACCCCAAAAGGGAGTTGAGCGCCCTTTCAGTGGAGCTCAT